AGGCCCGAAATGTCAGCCTTTCTGCTCCTCTGATGCTGCTTGGCCTGCTGTGTTCATCCAGCCCTGCACCTTGTTGTCTCGGATTCTCCAGCATCTGCAGTTCCTACTATCTCTGATGCAATGTGAGAGTGTTGTGTGAGTATCACCGCACTCAAGATACTGGATATGCACATTGCACGCTGTTGCTTTTTCTCATTTTGGATTCAGAGAAACAAGTTTAAAATGTGCAATAATATTCAGGGCCTTCATTGCATTTTTTTTACAATTAAATTTAAATTAACATGTTCTGCCAGTGTGCAGCAAATTAGTATATATAGAGTGCGGAAGCTGCATTACTTCTGGAGCACATCAGCGTTATAACCCTGGGTCCACACTATCCCACAGATTTTATTTTATATTAGGATATGGTTGAGCTCATAGGAAAGCTATTGTGTTTGGAAGCTGCCGCTCTGTTGAACAGGGTCAAAACTTGTTGGCTATAAGAGCCTGCATAGTGACAACAAAGAGAATGAGATATTATTCCAAAGTTTGGGGTGGGCAGAACTCACACCCAAAGAAATCATGTACAAAGTTCAAACCCATTGTTCCAATCCAGAGATTCCTCCAGGGACTGTTCCACATAGAAAGATGAGCAAAATTCTCATTCATTATATCACTCAGATGTAAAGTGTTGCTGACTCCACATTTCAGAATCTGGGTTAAACAGGAACATTTTCCTTTCTTGACCTCAGCAGATCTGAACAAGTGTTTATTCATGTGAAGAAAATCCCAGTCATGTTGGAGAGCTTGTTTCCTTTGGGATGCAGCCCAAAGCCAGCTTTGAGACACAACACAGCACAGAAGACAAAATATGTTAGACACAGTGACAGAGTTAGCGCAATCTTTGACAGGCCTTGTGCTGTAGGTTGGTCTAACAATTACCTCCAAATATACAAGGTCAGAAAACACAAATTGGGAACTACCAGGGTAGTAAACCAGCAAGGAAAATTTAAAATAAAATGCTGGATTAGAGCTGATATTAGCTTGCAGTGGCTTAAAGCATTATTTTGACCCATTTAAAATCATCAGACAATTGTTCCAAATAATGAACAAACAGAAGCCTAGCCATTTTAAAATCAGCCATGGTCATTTCAGTGTAAATGATATTTGTCCCTGAATCAGAGAAATGAGGTAAAGCTACTCATTTGGAGTCTGGATTGTTCAGGATCTGATGTCAGTGTAAATCAATGGGTTCCTGGCTGACTGTTTCAGGTGATATTCATTCATAGAAGGTGAGGTTCTAGTTACAATGAATGAAGAGCATACAGTTGTACGGGCTATGCCACATCACTGCGCTATATGAGCTGTCACTTATGATGAAGGTTACTGCCCCACCACTCTAGGTGATGGCCTAGACTATTAATCCGGAGACCCAGGTAATACTCTGGGACCTGGGTTCAAATCCTGCCATGGTTGATGGTGGAATTTGAAGTCAACAAGAATCTGGAATTAAGAATCCAATATGACCATGAAACCATTGCTGATGGTCAACGGGAGAAACCATCTGTGCTTTGGGGACAGAAATTTGCCACCCCTACTCAGCCTGGTCAACACGTGACTCCAGATCCACAGCAATATGGTTGACTCTTAGGTCTTGCCTATGTAGTCTAGTGTGGTTGAGGAAAACCACTTTTTGGTCCAAATAGAAGAGGCTCTTATCATTGGCAGCTAGTTATGGATTACATAAATCTGATAGACATTGTTACAATGACTTTGAGAAGGACAAGATGTTAAGTCTCCCTCCTTCGAGATCCTAAGCTGTTCAACGCATTTGTCCATTTGACATCACCATAGTGGTGGAGGTAATAGCGTTCCTCAGTATTAACCCTTTCAGAACCATATACAAGACAGAGCATAGAATGGATAATATCCCTTGCAACCACCCAACACTCTTGTACCTACATTTTATAGAGCAACAGGCCTGATAAAGTGTCTTTGATGAACAAAAAGCAATTACTTTTACATTGCTAACTTACCGAAGTTGGTTCCAGCCTCTACAGCCAAACTGGAAAGTGGAGGTGAATGGTAGACAGAGACATACACTCGTGTGATGCTACTGTTAGGTGTTGCACACCGTCAGTGCATCATTAACCATGAATACTTTGTGTTGCTAATGTGAATGTCTGGCTGATTAATGCTGATGACAGGTTCAGAAGGAGGACGGAGAAACATTGACCTTTGTTTGTTGTTGTAAATGGTAGTTGCTTTACACAGTGCTTTACTTGGTGGAAGAAATGGATGCAAAGTGCTGCAGACGGTGTGTCATGCATGCAGTGTTTTTTTTCCCCAAATTGCTTCATTGATTGATTGATTTATTGTCACGTGTACCAAAGTACAGTGTAAATCTTTGTTTACAAGCCATACAGACAGATCATAGTAAGCAAAGATGTTCAGATCAAAAAGACTTAGACAGAGGCATACAGGTTACTTTGCACAGGGTGTGCGCTAGGCGAGATCAACGTTAGCAAGATCAACATTATTTGAGGCTCGACAGTCCATTCATCAGTCTGATAATGGCGAGGAAGAAGCTGTTCCTGAACCTGCTTGTGTGTGTGTTCAGGCTTCTGTATCTTCTGCCTGATGGAAGAGGCTGTAGGAGATCATTACTGGGGTGTGATGGGTCTTTGATGATGTTGGCCACCTTTCCATGGCAGTGAGCCATGTAAATACAGTCCATGGATGGAAGGTTGGATCCGTGATGGTCTGGGTTGTGCACACCACCTTCTGTAGTTTCTTACAGTCCTGGCAGAGCAGTTGCCATTCCAGGCCAATATGCACCCGGACAGTATGCTTTCATTGGTACATCTGTAGAAGTTGGTGAGGGCCCTTATGGACATGCCAAATTTCCTGAGCTGCCTGAGGAAGAAGAGGTGTTGTGCCTTCTTGACTGTCGCATCTACGTGGGAAGTCTAGGACGGGTCGTTGGTATCATCACTCCAAGGAATTTGATGCCCTTCACTCTCTCAACCTCAGTTCCGTTAATGTAGATGGGGGCGTGTTCTCCTCCTTTCTTTCTGAAGCCAATGATCAGCTGTTTAGTTTTGCCGACGATGAGAGAGAGATTGTTTTCATTGCACCGTGTCACCAAGCCCTCTATCTCCCTTCTGTGTTTTGACTTGTCGTTGTTAGATATTGACCAATTTCTAATAAATTTGAACATTGGGAGAAGCAGTTATAGATGGATATTGCAGTAAACGATCTATCCAATAGTTTCAAATGGTGCAATGTGAACAGCTGTGATGCCAGCCAGAAGGTGTCTCTCAGGCAGGAATTTAGTGTGTGTGGATGATGGGCTGACTTGGATGGCTACGGGTCATGAGCTGTATCCTGCACTCCATGCGTACAGTGAATGGCCACATCTTCCACAGCCCATCCTTGAGCAGCTGAGGGTCACCCGGAAGATCCCAGGCTTCAACACTCGACGCAGTTACCAGCTCGCGGTTGGCGATGTGAGCGGTCAACCAGGCAGTACGCTATCGGGAGGGCTGCCACCACTTAGTAGGGTGGGTTTCAGCAGGGATGAAAGGATTTCACATGAGCATGTGGCTTTTTTTAATGGTCCTGTATCAATGCGAGTGTTTCATTAGCTGTCATCTAGTTATGTTCTTTGAGGAGGATGTTTTGCCTGTGGACATTAGGAAGTGCGTTGTCCTTGTTGCGTATATTGGAAACATTTAATATGCTTTGGGTAGATTCACAGTCACCAATCCTGCTTAGAGACACAGAGAGCCATACAGCTTCAGTCCAACTAGTCCACAACAACCATGTTCCCAAATTAAACTAGTCCCACCTGCCTGTGCTTGGCCCATATCCCTCCAAACATTTCCTATTCATGTACTAATCCAAATGTTATTTAAATGTTGTAACTGTGCCCGCATCCAGCACTTTCTCAAGCAGTACATTCCACACATGAACCACTCTCTATGTAAAAAAGTTGTCCCTTACGTCCACAGAATCCTTACAGTTTGGAAACAGGCCATTCAGCCCAACATGTCCACACTGACCCTCAGAAAAGCATCCCACCCAGACCCATACCCCTTCCCTATCCCTAAAACCCGCAATTTCTATGGCTAATGCATCTAACCTACACATCCCTGAACACTATGGGGCAATTTAGCATGGTTAATCCACCTAGCCTGCACATCTTTGGGCTGTGGAAGGAAACTGTAGCACCCAGAGGAAACCATGCAGACACGGGGAGAATGTGCAAACTCTAACCTTAAAAATATGCCCCCTATTTTTGAACTCCACCATTCTAGGGAAAAGGAATCTTGTCATTCACTTTATCCATGCCCCTCAAGATTTTATAAACCTCTAAAAGCTCACCCCTCAACCTCCTACACTCCAGTGAAAAAAAAGCCCCAGCCTATTCAGCCTTTCTTTATAACTCAAACTCTCCATTTCCAGCAACGTTCTGGTAAATCTTTTCTGAAACCTCTCCAGTTTAATAATATCCTTCCTGTAACAGAGTGACCAGAATGGCACACAGTACTCCAGAAGATGTCTCACTAATGTCCTATACAACCTCAACATGACAAACCAACTCCTACACTCAAAGGTCTGAAGAATGAAGGCAAGCGTGCTAAACTTAACCACCCAGTCTACCTGTGATGCGAATTTCAAAAAAGTATGTACCTGAACTCCTAGGTCTCTCTGTTCTACAACACCAACCAGGCCCCTAGCATTAGTTGTATAAGTCCTGTTTTTGTTTGTATTACCAAAATTCAATACCTCACATTTATCCAAATTAAACGTTATTGGGAGTCATAGAGTCATACAGCACTGAAACAGACCCTTCGTTTGAACCAGCCCAACTTCTTATTAGTACCAGTCCAAGTTACGGATACCAAATTGGGAAGGAAGCCCATGCAAAGTCTTCGACAGAAGATAAATTCAATCTTGTTGGATAGAAAAGGTTGATCATGTAGTAATTATTAGCCAGTTGCACTACATCTGAGCTATGTGATCAGCCTGTTGTGAGACGTCAGATTGCGCTTAAAGAGGAAGTACACATTAATGTTCCACTACTGCTCAGCACCAGAAAAATAACAATCAAACTGGTATAACAAGGTGTGGAGCTGGATGAACACAGCAGGCCAAGCAGCATTAGAGGAGCAGGAAAGCTGATGTTTCGGGTCTGGACCCTTCTTCAGAAATGGGGGTGGGAAAGGGGGCTTTGAAATAAATAGAGAGAGGGGATGCGGTGATAGAAGATGGATAGTGGAGCAGATAGGTGGAGAGAAGACGGACAGGTCAAGGAGGTGGGGATGAAGCTAATAAAGGTGAGTGTAGGTAGGAAATGGGCGTGGGGGTTGGTCAGTGAGGTGGGAGGAGCAGATAGGTAGGAGAGAAGACGGACAGGTCAAGGAGGCGGGATGAGAGGGGGGTGCTGGTCTTGGGATGAGGTCGGGGGTGGGGAGATTTTGAAGCTAGGTAACTGGTTACTTCCTCTCCTAGTCCTTTATGTTCTGAAGGGAAAAGCAAGTAATATGACACTCACGGCAAGCATTGTTCAAACAAACAGTAATTGAAGTTTAGGTTTAGACGAACTGAAGCTGAGGGGTTCTGTATTCAGATGGAGCCTTTGGATGGCGACAAGAATTTGGTCAATTGTATATGGACTAGTGACCAGTTATCAATGACAAAGGCCTTTGTCTTCTAACCACCATGTGAATGGCTCTAAGTAACTGAACAGCTTGGGTCTGGGAACAGATAAAGAGAGAACCCGTAAGGTCTTCATCCAACCAGGAGCTCTGTCCATTTTCCACAGTGAGCCTCTTTAAATCTCTGAGCCACATACCACTCTGCCTCTAAATCATCTCACTGCTCCATTACTGTCACTGTTGGTTAAAGCATCTGCCTAACAAACTGGAGATCCTGGGTTCAAATCCCAGCAGTGCCTCTACCTCACCTCAAAGAATTCTTATTTTAACTTCGCTCAAACACTACATTTTTCATAATAAAAGACCCCTACCACCCCAGTTTCCCATTGGGCAGAAGATACAAAAGTTTGTATACGTGAACAAATAGATCCAAGAACACCTTCTTCCCCATGGTTTTAGACTTCTGAATGGACCTCTCAAATTTTAAACTTGTTGTTGATCTTGCTCTCTGTGCATCTTCTCTCCAGCTAGAGCATCGTATTCCTCACTCTGTTCTATTACCCTTACACACTTTGTATGGTATGATCTGCCTGTACTACACTTTTCTGTGTATCGGGTACCTAGGTATATGTGGCAATAATAAATCAAATCAAATCCTAGAAGTCCTGAAGAGCACTGCAGGTCTCCTTATATCCTAAATGAATTGCAGTGCTTCAACAGGGCAGCTTACCACCATCTTCTAAAGGGCAGTAGGAATGGACAGTATATAAAAGCGTAGGTTTAGTCTGCATTACGTTGAACAATTTATATTTTTTTTGCATATGAGGGGTTGGGGAATGTAACTGCACCGGCGTGTACAGAAAGCAAACACAATATTAAAAACAGAAGGTGCTGGAAATACTCAGCAAGTCCCAAAGCAATTCTGCAGAGAGGAAAAAAACCCAGAAATAACTGCACTTCCGGGATGAATCTTCCTTCTTGCAAAGGACCCTTCAACTTTAGCTCTGCTTAACTCTCCGTCTGTAATCCAGCAACGTGTCATTTGTTTGTCGTTCAGATTTTGCAACCACTCGTATTTGCATTCGTTATCCATTGAAAAACTACAATTCCCGAATGTCCCCCCCTCCTGCCTTGCGCCTGCCCCCCCCCAAACAAGCCCAGGGAAGGCAGTTACTGTCCCTTGTCAATCAAACCGCTTACAAAGGAGGAAAGGGAAGGTCACGATAAACGGCGCAGGTCGCTAGGTAGCACAAAGTACATCGTGAAAGTGACAGATTGCAAGGAAACCCACTGACCGGGGGGGTGGGGGGGGGAATTGCTGCTTTTTACTTCCCGAATCAATTTTATCTTTAATTTAAATCACCTTAGAAAGTTGAATTGCAGAAACATGGGAATGGGAGATATCTTCATGTGATTTTATTTGGAGGATCTGGCGGCTTGCAGGAGTTTGAGGCTGAACTCCGCGCTGTTGTTTTGTTTTAATTATTAATTATTAGAAGCAGAGCTTGGAGTCTGTCTCTACTATCCTTTTTGTTTTGGAGTTGTTGGAGCCTCCCTTGCCTTTCCTGTGGTTTTGTTTTTGAGAGCGGGGTGGTGGGGGTTTGGTTTTGTTTTGCGCCTTTATTTCCCTTCCCCCTGTTTTCTCTCTCTCTCTCTCTCTCTCTCCTGTGATTGTGTGTAGTTTGGGCTGGGCGATGTGGAGACTGGCGACTTGCTCGGTTGTGTTCGTGCTGCTGCGCTCTCTCACCGCTCTGCCGTGGCCGCTGCTCACCGCCGCCTGCTGCGCTCTCTACCTCGCCTCGGGAGGTCGCACATTCCTCGGCGTCTTCTTCAAGACCATCCGCCGGGACGTGCAGTGAGTATGCTACAGTCGGTCGCATCCCTTTGCCCTTGAGAAGGCATGGGGCTTATTGCAGCTTAGGTGCGTGGGCGAGGGAGGGTTGTGGGTGGGGAAATGTTGCAATGCAGTCATTACATCCCCACCCCCACCCCCACCCCCACCCCCGGCTTGTGCACCCTGTCCTCTTACCTGTCAAGTGATACCACTCTGTCTCAACTCCACTGGGGGGTTTGGAGGAAGCCAACAGGAGTCCTCCTCCCCTTACCCTAAGAGAGAGGTACTGACCCTGAAAATCTCCCAAGTCCAGATCTTTCAACAAAAAAAAGACAGAAGTTGCTGGAAAAGCTCAGCAGGTCTGGCAGCATCTGTGGAGAGAAATCAGAGTCAGTGTTTACGGTGGAGTGACCCTTCCTCAGAACTGGTGGCAGTCTAGATCTTTCCATAGAATCCCTATAGCGTGGAAGCAGGCCCTTTAGCCCAACAAGTCCACACTGGCCCTTGGGGCATCCCACCCAGATCCATCCCCCTATAACCCACCTAAGCTACACATCCCTGGATGCTACAGGGCAATTTAGCATGGCCAATCCACCTAACCTGCACATCTTTGGACTGTGGGAGGAAACTGGAGCACCTGAAGGGAACCCAGTAGACACTGAGAGAATGTGCAAACTCCTCACAGTCGGTTGCCTGAGGCTGGAATTGAACCTGGGTCCCTGGTGCTGTGAGGTAGCAGTGCTAACCACTGAGCCACCATGCCACCCCCAACCTGTTCAGAGATGTTATTAATCATGGCCAAGGGGAGTTGAAGTCAGGCCCTCCTCGTCCCTCTTCAGTTAACCTGCAGCACTGCTCCAGGGATTAGTCTCTGGCTGGAGAGATGTTTATTGCTCACCTTTCGAGGGGGTGGGACTTGAACCTGGGCCCCCTGGCGCAGAGGTGGGAACTCTACTACCATGCCACATCCTGGCTCAGAGGTAGATACTTTCTAATTACAGATGCTTTTGGTGTGGCACAGTGGCTCAGTGGTTAGCACTGCTGCCTCTCAGCACCAGGGACCTGGGTTCAATTCCAGCCTCTGGTGACTGTGTGTGTGTGGAGTTTGCGCATTCTCCCCGTGTCTGTGTGTGGGTTTCCTCAGGGTGCTGTGGTCTCCTCCCTCAGTCCAAAGATGTGCAGGCTAGGTGGGTTAGCAATGGGAATTAAGGGGTTATGGAGATAGGGTTGTGGTCTGGGTGGATGCTCTTGGGTATGGACTCCAACACACTCTGATGTGCTTCCTGAGACTGTGTTGGACAGTGTGTTCCTCTTCAAGTTGAATTAACTTGCCCGCCCTTTGGGGCAACACTCCTCAAGGGACATGCCTTTGCATAGTGAGAGAGTCAAAAAAAAGGGTTTTTGTTTACAACAAACTCGGCCATGATATGTCCTCTTTGTGAAGGCATTGGAAAAAAATGTGCAGAAAATATATAAAAGGATTGAGCCGAGGGGATATAGGTTGCAACCCCGAAGTAGTGTATCAACCTAAATTGGGGGTCAAACACTCTGAGGCAGACCTGCGGCCAACCCTCTCGTTCTCCCACTGGGTCTTGTGCTTCCATCTCCTCTACCTCACCATCATCCAATCACTCACTAGAGCTGACAATTTTCAAGCCTCAAAATGGGCTTGCAGTGCGGGGACAAAACTCAGGAAGCGCTATGACACAGGGATGGCTGGATTGGAGAAGGTGGGACTGTTTTCTTTCATGAAAGAGAAGGTCATGAGGAGATTTGACACACGTACGTAATATCAAGAAGACAGGGTTGTCAGGGAAACAATGTTGCCCATTGGCAGTAAGTTCAACGACCAGAGGCCTCTGGTTTATGACGATTGGCAAAAGAAATAACCATAGCATGAGGAAGTTTGGGGGAGGGAGTAAATTTTCTTGCAGATAGTGAATAGGAATTTGCTGCCTGAGACTCTTGGGGGCAGGTTCAGTCAATGCATTCAAAAGGAATTTGGATAATTATCTGAAGAGAAAATAAATGCATGTTTGTGGGGAAAATGGAGGAGCTGAGAGACCCATTGATTAACTGTTAAGAGAGCCAGTATGACCCTGACAGACTGAATGACCTCCTTATGTGCTGTACCCATTCTGTGATACATTTCCAATGAACCATGATGAAGGATAGGAGTGAGAAAGAAAGATTTAGACTCTGCAACTTCAGGCCATTCCAAAGTATCCGCACTGTTGTAATGTAGAAAAAGTGGCAGTCCATTTGCACAGCATGATCCCACAGCTCCTATTACTTCGTTGTATGTTTTTCTTTGTTTGTTCCTGGGATGTGGGCACTACTGGGTAGGGTGTCCAGGCTGGCCTAAGCAGCAATGCCAACATCCCACAACCGGATCATTTCTTTTTCTGAAGAAAGGTCCTGACCCAAAACGTCAGCTTCCCTGCTCCTCTGATGCTGCCTGGCCTGCTGCGTTCCTCCAGCACCACACTGTGTTATCTCAGATTCCAGCATCTGCAGTTCCTACTATCTCTTAGATCATTTCTTTGTTTGGGCATCGGCTAAAGTCCTATTAAAAGCAAAATGTTGCTGATGCTGGAAATCTGAAACAAACTCCGAGAATGCTGGAGAAACTCAGCAGGTGTGGCAGCAGCTGCGGAGAGAGATACAGATGAAGAGCTCTAAGACAAATGTTGATGAGGGCACCATGGCCCCTTTACCACTGTTTTTCTCAAATAGTGCCCAGCTGAGAGGGCAGACAGACACCCCTGTTTGCCTGAAAGGACAGCAGCTCCAACACTGTAGCACTCCTTCGGTACTGTCCTGAGGTACTGGGCTAGATTTATTTGTGTTCAAAAACGTGGAAGTGGGTCTTGAACCTACAGCCTTCTGGGCAAAGACTCGAGTGTATTACCTGTTGAGCTGAGGATGACTAGTGCTGTCGTTGATATAGAAATTTTTACTCATGTGTTCCACTGTCAGCATTGACAGAAACACACGTCATTTGAATTGTATGGTAGCAGACTGGCAAAGGCATTGGTCTGAGCTTTGAATGGAGTAGAGATGTTAGTAAATTAGTCACTCCACCTCCCCCATGCCCAGTGTCGATTTTTATGTGAACTAATGCCCAATATAGAGCTCACCAATGTTGAGTCTTTTCCGAAAAGCAGCCTCTGGGTGCAGTTTTTGACTTGAGTGCAGCTTTCTAGATCACAGCAATGGGTGGCTTACAGCTTGGTTCTGATGCCCAACCTGCCACTCCCCAGCTGTTGGCTGTTGCTGTCTTGGCACAAGCCTTGGGAGTGCCTACCTAGCTCAGGAGACTGTAGGAGCACCTACAGCTGTGCCCGTGAGATGCCTGTCTCTTCCGAGAAAGGAGAGGGAGGGAGGAAGGCAATTGGATAAATAGTTGGCAAAGGGAAGAGAAACAGATGGGCCACTGCAGTGCTGTGCCAGCAGTGCAGAAGTATCTGCAAACTTATTGCTCAGTCTGATGAAGATTGTCACTGCATTTAAATGCGTGGGACTTCCATGATGGTGAGGGTAGGGGGGACAACTATAGCACCCAAGAGGTCATTTGGCATCCCAGGAGCATCAGTATCCTGCCTCTTTAGTCTCTTTTATGCAACGCTAGGTTGAGGTTAGAATATGCGAATGAAGTAATGTCTCCAGGGCTCATAGTGTCAAGCAGTTCATGTTAAATAATAGGAAGAATGTATATTTATGTAGCACCTTTAGTGTGACAGAACACCTCCAGTCTCTTAAGGGGAGCAGAGTCACACTTGGCCACCTGAGGTCAAATATCCATAAGCTTGGTCAAGGAGGTAGGTTTTAGAGGAGAGAAGTGAGGTGGAGAGATTGAGGGAGTAAATTCTGGAGTGTGGGGTTCAGGCATTGCTGCCAATGGCTGAATGGTTAAAACTAGGAATGCACAAGAGGCAGAATTATAAACAGGAAAGCTCCCAAAGAGTGCATACGTTCCTCCTTGCAGTCTGGACAGCATTTGGTTTTAATTTCCCTAGCAGTGAGATGTGAAGTGTGTACTTGTACATCTGTATATTGTTGCTGCTCTGGGAGTTTAATGTCACTTTGAAGAGTTGGTCTGTTAACTGGAGAAAGGGATAGGGCTGCAGTTATTACATTTCAGTGGCCCACTCAACCCAGCAAAGGTAGAACTTATGTGCTGCTGAAACCATTATCACGCTTTTGTTACTTCCTGATCGCCTGTTGCATTGTCAAGCTAGCTGGCATCCCAGCTTGCATTTCACAACCAGGATTTGATTTAATCAAGGTGCAGGGCTGGATGAACACAGCAGGCCAAGCAGCATCATAGG